TCCTACCATAGGCCATGTCAGATGGGGCCCTGATCCTGAAAATAAGAGGTTATAAGACAGAGAACTGAGGAAACCTATCTCTAAGCACATTTATGTCCTTGACCACTTTTCTTTTATGGCTACTGGTAAAGATGAATCACAGACACCTGAGGGCATCTGGGCTATTTTTCTCACTATGCCTAGTGTCCATCTTTCAAGCTACCCTCAGGCTCTTCCTTTTGACTTCAGTTATAATCTGTTCCTGACCTGGGTTTCAGGTCTGTCCTGCTCCTGGCTCCCAGCTTCGGGATAAACTCTGGCTTGGCTCCACTTGCTTAGGTGCCTCCCAGAGTAGGCCAACCTCCCCAGCGTCCCCAGGATGCAATCTCAGGGTGATGACTTAGGGGTACACGGACACCACAGCTTACTCCCTGAGCCCATTTGGCCAATTAGTCACTCATACAATAAATGTTTCTTTAAACATCCACGATGTGCCAGTCCCTGGACGGACAGCTGGACTAACAGGGTTGAATCAGGTGACTCACAGTTCAATGGAGACGAACACATTCAACACAATCCAACCTATTAAAACATCACACAACACAGCACAACTCAGTGTGACTCAACACATCTCAACACAAGATGCAAGGCCTCAGGTCTGCCTTCCAGCCCTTGGGAACTCCGCTGGAGAAAAAGCAGTTCGCAGGCAAAGGGGCTATGAGTACCAAGCAGGGAAGGAGATGCTTCTTGAGATGTCACAGTAGAGGAAAGAGGCTCTACTGTCAGGTCTGTAGGCTTCTGTCCTGCTGCCTAAGTCCTGGACTAATGACTTAACTCTCTGTGCCTCAGTTTCCACATCTACCAGCGGCCGTGAACAATAGTGTGTATCTCGTAGGGCTTAATGGAAACAGAACATGCAAGGTATCCTGCATCCGTGCCTGGAATGTGGGACACACAATGGCATTGGCTGTGGTGGTAGTGCTTGCTTTAGAATTATAAAACTCTGGATTCCTGGAGTCAGTAAAATGTAGAGTCATAGAAACCTAGGTTCTTAGGACCTTGAACTCAGAACCTAAACAGAACAGAGCCCTAATGTTAGCTAGGGGGTAATGTTAGCTAGGAAGGTGGAGATTTCCCTGTCCCTTCAGATGGAGGTGAAATTTCCTCTAATGCTTTGGGGTCCAGACCTGTCATGTTCAGTTGCTCAGGTAGATTATTCTGCTTCTCTAGAGAAGACCACTCACAAAGACTCCCATGTGAATGGAATGCCCAGGTGCCATATGATCTGCACCACCACTTTCTCCCAGAGAAAGCCTGCTAAATCCCTGGTAGCTCATCCTTACCCCTGTAATCTCTGTTTCCAGCAAAACATGCTGACTTTTCTGTGAACCACACTGACCTGAATGTGATGAAACTACCTCTTGGATTTCATATTTTAAAAAATAAAATAAAATAAAATTACTTCCTCCAAGCATTCTTGAGAGTAGGCTGAGCAGAAGTTTTGGAATGTTCCAGAGAAGAATCACATCCTATGAAGTCTATCACTGTCCAGATGGTACAATGGGATGTGTGGTCCCACATCCCCCACCTTAACCCCTCCCTCCTGCCCCCTAATTTGCTCCTTGGGGCCCAAGGCTTTAGCTATCCCTGGCTCTTGGTGGGTCTCTGCTTAAAGTCTTTTTTTAAAAAATATTTTTAAATTGTCAATGGACCTTTATTTATTTATATGTGGTGCTGAGGATCGAACCCAGGGCCTCACGCATGCTAGACGAGTGCGCTACCACTGAGCCACAGCCCCTCTGCTTAAAGTCTTTATCAAAGCATTTTCCTATCAAAGGTGGTTCCTTCTCTTCTTAAGTATTTTGGGCCATATGCCTAGGTAGTAATTTTTTTAAATATTTATGTTTTAGTTTCAGGTGGACACAATATATTTTATTTTAATTTGGTGCTGAGGATCGAACCCAGTGCCTCATGCATGCTAGGTGAACACTCTACCACTGAGCCTCAACCCCAGGCTCTACTTAGTAATTTTTAAATACCTCATCACATTTAGTAGCACTTATAAAACCTAAGACTCCCAGAACATTAAAATCAAATCATCTCCCCAGGTGTGGCAGCACAGGCCTGAAATCCCAGTGACCTGGGAGGCTGAGGCAGGAGGATCATAAATTCAAAGCCAGCCTTAGCAAGTTAGCAAGACCTTAAGCAACTTAGCAAGTACCTGTCTCAAAATATAATATAAAAAGGGCTGGGGATGTAGCTCAGTGGTTAAGTGCCCCTGGTTGCAATCCCCAATGATCTAACCCCCATCAAATCACCTCAGAATAAGAATTTTGGAATAATCTATAGGCTAAGGATCACAGTTCTAAGAACTATGGAGAATTTTAGAATCCCCCAAAATCTTAACAATGGGAAGGAGTCAGAAGAGGTCATTGAGTCCTCACCTTGTTCCACACAGGTATCCGCTCTAAAACATTGGAGGTACCTACTTGGATTGTCTTGGCTTAAATATGGCTCTTATTCCCTCACCAGATGATCGGTTCCACCTTGAGATTATTCATCTGGTACCCATGGAAATGATTAAAGAGGACCTTAACTTTCTTCTGTTCTTATAACAGAAGGTGGACTTCAACTCAAGGTATGCCGAGATTTTAAAGCAATGACAGCTGGGAAGATGCAATAACCTGGTTAGATACGAGAGCTGGGAACTGAGCAGTCCAAGGTGTGATAAACATGGGGAGCTCAGTCATGATCGGAGCAGGGCTGTGGCTGCCATATGTTGATAAATTATGTTTTCAATTTATTTAGTTCAAAACATTTTTAAAGGCTGGGGATATGGCTCTGTGGTACTGTGCTTGCCTAGCATGAGCAAGGCCCTGGGTTGGTTCCCCAGCACCAACAAATAAACCATTTTAAAATTTCTCTTGAGATTTCTTCTTTGATCCAAATGGTATTTAGAAATGTGTTGTTAAATCTACAAGTATTTTCCAACTATCTTCTGTTGTTGCTGTCTTAGTTTAATTCCACTGAGGTCTAAGAGCAGACATTTTGGTATGATTTCTATTATTTTAAATTTGTTAGCTATGTTTTATGGCCCAGAATGTGGTTTGTCTTATTGATTGTTCCACAAGAACTTGAGCAGAATGTGTATTCTGCTGTTGTTGGCTGGAGTATTCTGCATACACCAATTATAGTCAGTTGATTTATAGTGCTGTTGATTGAACTATCCTCACTTATATTCTGACTTGCTGGATCTGCCCATTTCTGAGATAGATGTTGACGCCTCCAACTAGGTGGGTTCATCTATTTCTCCTTATAATGCTGACAATTTTTACCTCTTACATTTTGATGCTGTGTTGTTAGGTATATATACTTTAGAGATGGTTGTTTTCTTGGAGAATTGACCTTTTTTCACTATGTAATGCCACTTTTAATCTCTGTTACTTTCCTTGCTTTAAAGTTTACTCTGAAATTAACATAGCTACTCCCACTTTCTTTTAAGTGTTAACCTGATTAGTGTTAGCTCTTTACTTTTAATCTATTGTATGTTTTTATATTTAAAGTGGGTTTCATGTGGACAAGATAAATTTGGATCTTGTTCTTTGATCTACTCTGACAATCTCTTCTTAAATTTGTTTATAATTAATTTATAAAAATTCTGTTTAATTAATAAAATTAACAATTTAATAAAAATTCTGGGTTTTAATTTGACTATTAATGTTTAAAGTGATTGATACAATTTGATTTGTACATTCCATGTTTGTTACTATTCATTGATTTTATATTTTTATTCTTTCTTTTTGTTTTCAACACTTATCTATCCTTACTCATGTTATGTGGTCTTAATTAAACATTTTATATGATTCAATTTTCTGTCCTTTCTTAGCATCTGAAGTTATTTTACTTTTTAGAAAATGATTGCCCTAAAATTTGCAACATGTATACACCATAATAACCACTTAATAGTAAGGATGGGTTCTGAGAAATGTGTTGTTGGCAACTTTAGGGTTGTGTACACTGTTATACAAGCTAAGACAGCATGACATCATGACATCACTAGTCAATGTAATCTTATGGGATCACTATCATTTAATTGGTCTGTTAGTGAATGAAATATCATATGCAGCATGTGACAGTACAATTAATACAAGATCACTTTAAAATCACACTATTCTACTTCTTAATTCAGTAGTCACTCCTTATTCATGGCTTTACTATCTGCTGTATTAGTTCTATGCTGTCAACTACAGTCCAAAAACATTAAATAGACAATTCCAGATACAAACAATTAATAATTTTTAAATTGCGTCCTCTTCTGAGTAGTATGATGATATCTCATCCTGTCCTGCTTCAGATGCAAGGTTAATCATCCCTTTGTCCAGTATGTCTACGTAGTATATGCTACCCTACCATTAGTCACTTAGTGGTCATCTCAGTTATCAAATCATCTGTCACAGTATTCTGGTGCTTATATATAGGATTCAATAACAGTGCCTCAGCATCAGGCTTCCACTAGGGGTCTTGGAACATATCCCCTGTGGAAAAGGAGAAACTACTATAAGAAAATATTCCTAATTCCTCGCTCCTGTCCCTTGTTTTATTATATAAGCTATAATTATAAATTTTTTGCTATTATTATTTTGGATGTTATGTTGGATCAATTAAGAACAAGAAAAACAAAATTGTGAAAGAAGCAGAGAAATAAAAACTTACCTATAGGGCTAGGGATGTAGTTCAGTGGTACAGGGCTTGCATAGTGTCCACAGGGCCCTGGATTTGATCCCCAGTACCTCCAAACCCCCCCTCCCACCCCCTAAAAAAAACCCCTCCAAACCCAAAAACTTGCTTATGGGAATAGAGGTGCAGCCCAGTGGTAGAACTTGAAATTGAACTTACCTGTAGAGGAGCAAAAATGAGAATTACACCAACTTCTTAGAAACCAAGCAAGAAGAGAATGAAGTGAAATATTTAGTGTTGAGGAAAAAAAACACTTTAAAAATTAGCATTTGGTATCCTGTAAAATTTTCTCATTTCCACAACACATACACTAAAATTAAAATATACAGAGAAGCTTAGCATGGCCCCTGAGCAAGTATAACATGCAAATTTGTGAAGTATTCCACATTTTAAATTACAGTTAGATGAGACGAATGAACTTCAAGAGATCTATTATACAACCAAGTTACTATGGATAATGATGATATATTATAATTCTGAAAAATGTAGAGAATGGATGCAGAGCACTCTCACCACAAAAATAGTAACTATGTGTGGCAGTATATTTAATTGGCTGAATCTGATCATTCTACAATGTATATGTACACTTCAAAACACCATATTGAACCAGGAGCTGTGGCACAGAGACTCAGGAGGCTGAGGCAGAAGGATCACAAGTTCAAAGCCAGTCTCAGCAACTCATTAAAGACCTAAGCAACTTAGCAAGACCTGGTCTCAAAATTAAAAAAAAAAAAAAAAAAAATTAAAGCGCTGAGGGTGTGGCTCATTGGTTAAGTGCCCCTGAGCTCAATCCTTGGTTTTAAAAAAACAAAAAACAAAAAATAACTTATTTGTCAATTAAAAAAGATCAATAAAAATAAAAGTTATTATTATTTTTTTTTACTTATTTCTTCTTTACTGTTCTTCCTCTCCTTTTGTTGATCTGACTTTCCAACTTCTATCATTTTCTGTCTCTCTGAACAACTTCTTTATACATTTCTTGCAAGTCAGGTCTACTAGCAACAAATGTCCTCATTTTTATTTGTCTGAGAATTTTTTTATTTCTTCATCACTTTTGAAGGAAAACTTGCAGGATACAGAATACTAGGTTTGTGGGTTTTTATTCTTAATACTTTAAATATGTCACTCCACTCTCTTCTTGCTGTCTTGGTTTCTGGGACATCAGGTGAAGTGCTTATCTTTGCTCCTGTGAAAGTATAACCCCTTCCCTCATCCCCTGCTTTCTTTCAAGATATTTTCTTTACCTTTAGTTTATGCAGTGTGAATATGATATGGATGTGTATAGTTTTGTTTGGGTTTTGGCATTGATCCTGCTTGGTGATCTCTGGGATTCCTGGATCTGTGGTTTGGTGTCTGGAATTAATTTTGTGAAATTCTCAGTTATCACTGCTTCAAATATTTCTGCTCTTTCTTTCCTTTAGATATTCTCATCTTGCCTATGGGATACCTTCTGTAGTTGTTCCACAGTTCTTGGATATTCTCTCTCTCTCTCTCTCTCTTTTTCAGTCTTTCTCCTGTTTGCATTTCAGTTTTGAAAGTTTCTCCTGACAGATCCTCAGTCTTGGAGATTCTTCCCTCAGCTGTGTCCAGTTTGCTCAGGAACCTATCAGAGGTTCTCTTCATTTCTGTTAGAGTTTGGATCTCATTTCTTTTTGATTCTTTCTTGAATGTCTATCTCTCTGCTTACATTGCTCATTTGTTCTTGCATGGTGTCTAATTTTTGCATTAGAGTCCTTAGTATATTACCAATAGTTGTTTTAAATTCCCAGGAGAATACTTCTAGCATCCTGTTATATCTGGCTTTTGTTGTGATTCTTGCTGTTTCTTCAAACTGATTTTTGTCTTTAGTTTGGAATTTTGTTGTTGTTTTTCAAAAAAGCTGCGCATGACGTATTTGGTAAAAGGAATTCCAATTAAAATAAGCTTTTAGTGATGCAGTGGTTAGGTGCGAGTGTGGGGAAACTCAGTCCTTTGGGGAGCCTTGGTTGTGAGCTCCCCCAGTGCTTCTCAGTTTCCCCCTCCCCTTGTGGGACAAGATGACTAGAGGGGGCTAGGGTTGGCTTTTTCCCTTCCCCCAGGTCAAGTTAGATTCTGATAAAACCCCAGAAAATTCTGATCTGATAAAATAGTTTCTCTGGAGAGTAAGTCTTGTTATGAAGAACAGGGTGCTCTGGCATATTTCAAAATGATCATTCTTCTCATTCCCCTTGCTGGAAGCAGGAGAGGATCCTTCTCTGACATTCACTGTAAGGACCTACCAGAGATTCCAAAGATAAAATTCACAAACAGTTGGCCCCCTCATAACAGGATCTTCTTGGAGCTTCTAATTCTCAGATTTTCCCACACTGAACCTCCAGCAAGTCTTCAACGATAGTTTAGGTTTTCCTAACCCAGTACTGGTTCCAGTGGAGGTTTCTGCTTGTTCCCATTCCAGTAAGTCCTGGTTCTCTGTATCTAACTGTTCTTCACTTTTTAAGACAATAATTTTCCCTGTGACCTCATTTCTCTGATGGCTCTGGAAGAGTTGTTGATTTTTCAGTGTGTTCCACTTTTTATTTGTGGTTAGGGCAGAACGACAACTTCCCAACTCCTTATACATCTGATTGGAAATTAGAAGTCTTACTCTTGCTACCAAGTATTTAACACTTCTGTCAAAATAAGTACTTTAAAATATTATCTCGGGCTGGGATTGTGGCTCAGTAGTAGAGTGCTTGCCTAGCATGAGTGAGGCACTGGGTTTGATTCCGGCACCACACAAAAAAAATATTATTTCATGCTGGCTGCTGTGGCCCAAGCCTATAATCCCATCGGCTTGGGAGGTTAAGGATTGGGAGGATTTCAAGTTCAAAGCCAGCTGCAGCAAAAGTGAGGTGTTAAGCAACTCAGTGAGACCCTGTCTCTAAATAGAATACAAAATAGGGCTGGGGATGTGGCTCAGTGGTAGAGTGCCCCTGAGTTCAATCCCCAGTACCCCTTCCCTGCAAAAATTATCTCATTTAATCTTCACATCAATTCCCTGAAATAATACTATTATCCCATTCTGTAGAAGTGATTCTTCTGACTCAGCAAGAATGAAGAGATTCTTTCAGGATCACACAGAAACAGGATTTGAACCTAAATCTGTTTATGATTTACCTATCACCCTGCTTCTCAGAACTAAGCAGATTTGCGATAGGGCTTGAGGCCCAGAAGAAGACACAAGCCTGAAACAGAGTCAGGAGCTCTGGTCAAAATGGCGAGAGAGACTAAGAAGGTTCTCAGGACTCATTCTTGGCAGGCCATCCACCAGACCAGATTCTTCCCCTTCCCAGTTGTGTCATCTTGGGCAAGCCATTTTCTCTCTTCTAGCCCCAAACAAGCAATGGCAAATGGTAACTGCTCAAAGTAAGTGGAAGTTTTTCTTGTTGTTTCTAGGTAGTGGTTAATGTTGCCAGCCGGGAGGCTGCAGGTGCCAATTTCCCTCCAGCCCTGGTCAGGTGAGATCAGTAACTGGAGAAGTCGGGGCTGTCAGAGGAAGGCATCCTGACCCCAGCGAGAATGCTGGTGGGGGTGGAAGTGTTGGAACCTCAGTGAGAATCATTCTGCTGACAAAGTTATAGTGAGATATACCCACTCTGGCTTCCCACAGGACATGCTGGTTACCTCTTGACCCTGACTGCTGATCTGGTTGGCACCCACTGCTTGAGAGCCTGAGAGTACAGAAGGACTGATACCACTGATCCTTCTGTGGAGCCAGGTGTGACAGCTGGTATAAAGGAGAAAAAATATTGCAGCTCCAGCTCAGAGTCAACTCTAACACTTCCTGACCAACCCTAATGCCAACGCTGATGCCAGCAACTCTTGCTTCTGGTCAGGATGGAGTAAGAGGTTTATCCTCCCACCTGAAACAACTGAAAAAAAAAAAAAAAAAAACAGATTGAAGGAGTGGCACTCAAGACATTTCATATTGGGCAATGATGAACAGTGACCACTGAGAGAAGGGAAGGAAAACAAGGTAATGTCTAAGAGTGACTTACTACCTAGAGAAAGGTCCCAGGCCATGGCCCAGAGGTAGGGGAACTCAGGCAGTGCCGTCCCTCTGAATTGACAAGATATGACTGGGAGTCAGGGAGAAACCAAAGAGGCTAGAGTTTGTAGGGCAGAATGTTGGAGAGATGAGAGCTGCAGAGAAAGAGCTCCGGAGATATGAGGCTTCCTTTCAACGAATCAGTTGAGTATTGATCAGCCAGGATTGCCTGAGGCTAGGGAAAGAAAACCCCAAAACAGTAAGAGGGAACAGTGATCCAAACTTACACAGGGTGAGAAACAGTTGACTTTTGATAGCTAGAGCAAAAGGCCTCTTAATTCAAGGGGAGTCAGTTAGAGTACTAAGAAGGGTCTTGGCTGAGTAGTGGAGAAAAATTAACCCTCTGCTAAATCCAACTCTGGTCCCACCTAAGAAGAGATCAAATAGTTTCCAAGTAACTTTATTACTTCTCAGAACAAACTCAAGATTCTTTATAGAAATATAAACATGAATAAGATCCAACAAGTTAAAATTCACAAATGTTGGGCATTAAGTCAATAGTTACCAGGAATGTGAAGAAGCAAGAAGACACTACCCATAAATAAGATTAATTAATCAATCCATTGACACTGCTCCAGAAATGACATTGATAGTAAAATCAGTAGGCAATAACATTAAAATGGTTATTATGATGATATTTCTACTGATTATAAGCTAGGAAAAAAAAAAGAAGATTGACTATGTAGAGACATGGACATTTTTTAAAAGACCCAAAGAAAACTTTTGGAGATAAGATGAAAAAACACAGTCTCTGAGATGAAAAATACAATGGATAGAAATAATGACAGATTGAACACTGCAGAAGAGATTCATGAACTTGAAGGCAAATTATAGAAACTACACAAAATGAAAAACACAGAGAAAAAATCTTCCCCCCACAACAATATTTCAGTGAAGAGCAAGACAACTCCAAACATATAAATTGCTAGTGCAATAAAATAAATAAATAATTGGTAACTAAGATTGCAAAGGAAGATGTAAAACTGCTTTTATTTACACACCACATGATTGCCTATGTGGAAAATCCCATGGAGTCCCCCCCCCACACACACACACAAATACTAGAATCAGTGAGTTTAGCAAGGATGTAGGCTATAAGATAAATGTACAAAAAAGTCAATTATGGGGCTGGGGTGTGGCTCAGTGATAGAGCTTTTGGCTAGTGTGTGTGAGTTCCTGGGTTAAATCATAGCACTTCAAAATAATAAAAATAAAAACAAATAAATCAAAATAAAAACTCAATTACGTTTTTTACCTATTATCAACAATCTAAATTTGAAATTTTAAAAAAATTAATGGCATCAAAATATAAAATAGTTAGGATAA